TAGCTCTTTTTATTTTGTGATAGGGTATGACCAAGTTGCCCAGAATGGCCTTGAACTTATGATCCTCTGGACTCAGCTTCTGGGTCTCAGCTTCCAGAGTAGCTGTGGTTACAGGTTTATTCTGTTGCATCTGGCCAGACTCCAGTTTCTGATGTGTGATTGCTGAGACTAAAGCCTCTGTCTTTATTCTTCCCTTGCATCCATTCCTGGACCAACTTCCCAGAAAGCTTGGGGCTCCCTTCTCTGGCTTAGCCCCTGGAACTCCCATCCATCCCCAACCACAATTAAATTGCAGGCCAGGCTGCTGTTTTCCTTTCAAGCCATTACACACCCTGCTCTTCCCCAGAGACCTGAATTACTGCCTTACGACAATGTACCACTTTTGGGCGAGCTCACTTGAGCTGTGCTGCTCTGGGTGGAATAGCTGAGCCTTCTCAAACCTGGATGAAGCTAAGAAGGTAGATTTTTTTTTTTTTTTTTTTGGTGCTGGAGATGAAACACGGAGCTTCATACATGCTAGGCAAACCACTGAGACATACCCCCTGCCTGATTTGGCAGTTTTGGTAAGATATTGGCATTTAGAAGCAGGAATGTTGGGTCGGGGGCCCTCCTTAATTCTGTCTTGGGTGATGTCTTAGCCAGATTCTGTCTGTATCTTCAGGATGAAAGCCAGGGTGGCCTTGGTATGGGTGGGAGTTGTGAGGGTGGAAATATTTCCTGGGCAAAAGGTGGACCCACCGGACTGAGGTTGTGACTCAGTGGGAGAGCGCTTGCCTAGCATGTGTGAGGCCCTGGATTTGATTCTCAGCACCATATATAAATGAATAAATAAAATGACAATCCATTGACAACTATAAAAATATTTTTTTAAAAAAGGTGGGCCCATATGATGATCCTCCTCTCCACATAGAGCCTTTATTTAGAGAAAGAGAAGGGTGGGAAAACTACTAGATAGCAGGCCAAATTCAGTATCCTAACAGCAGGAGGTTCACCAGGCCTTTTAAGTATTTTTGCTGCTATAGTTCCTTGGGCTACTATCATAACAAGATCCCAACTCTTGGTTTTATAGGTTGCAACACTCAAACACCCCTGGGGCACTGCAGAGAGATGTTAATTCAAGTTCAGGTTCAGCATGAAGCCCTTAACCTTATAACCATTGCCATGAGGAAACCTAAAACTCTGGTGATGCCAGTGTGAGGCTGTGTGTGGGAAGAAATTCATGAATCTTAGGGAAGACAAGACAGTCCCTTTCTGTTGAGAGCCACAGCCAAAGGGGCCCCAGCAAACTTCCAGCTGCCAGCTGATGATTGGCTCACAGCAGGCCGCAGCAACTTCTAGCTGCCAACTGATTGGCTCCTCTGCGGTGATGCTCATTGGGCTGTTTCCTTGCCCTTTCAGACCACAAGCTGCTCCTTGGGGGACTTTTTTTGGCTTCGGCCACGCAACCCAGCCAATGGGCCTCAAGAGCAGGAGGAGTGGGGGAGGTGGAGAGGCTTGGGGGAAGCCGGTGGTGGCAGTTGGGCTCTGAAGGTTTTCCTGAAGAGCAGTTTTGTTTGGCGTGTGTGGTTAATAAAGTTCGTTTCTTTTGACAAATGGCTCCTGAATTGTGCCCAGCCAGACTGCGGCACCTTTCCCCTCTCCACAGAGTATCTGGAGACTCAAACCAGGAGCTGGGAGTGAGTGCTTAGTGGCAGAGTATGTGCTTAGGATGCATGGTGCCCAGAATTCATGCCCAGCATAGAAAATACAGCCAGCCAGGGAAGGAAGAGAGAGAGGGAACAAAAGAAAAACATATGGAAACAGTTGTCCATACTGTGACTTAATTGGAAATCCAGAGTTTACTCCCAAGTATTTACACAACTAAATAGATGAAATAGCACTGATTGCTTTTTTTTCTCTGCAAGGTAAATTCTGAATTCATATCTGCTATATGCACTAATTGGCAATCCTTTATATGATTAATCTACACAAGACTCTAATTACATTATATCTCGGGATCCCATTAACTGTAAGCAAGGTTTACTCTATAATCTTTGAAGAATAATGGGTTATAAAATAGAGGAGAAACAGACATGTCTTCCCTTAAGATCTATGGTCTTGCCTAAATCCTCATAGTCATAGCAGCCATTGTTTTAAAATATCCCATGGTGAGTGGAAGCTCTAAATCAATGAGAAATAAAATAAAATTAGATCTTTGGCACTTACAAAGAACCTTACCAAAATCAAATCTCCTATACCTTCATTCTGTGGTTAACTTATTTAGCATGGTCTAATGTAGGTTGTGTACATCTCTGAAGGATTAAAGATCATTATTCAAAATCTGTTTTGCCTTTAAACCTGGAATGGATGAATGGCATCTCACAGTGGACAACCACAGCTTTGATATTGTAGTTCCACCATTAATCCCTATACCCAGTAACCACCATTACATAAATTCCTGATTGTGTGCAGCCAGCAACTTGTAAATATTCTGCTGTCACCGTGCTGGGTAGGTCTGTGCCCACTGCAGCAGCCTCTTAGCTGAAGTTTGCCTTTGTCTTTGGAGCAGTGTGGTCCACCTCTGGAACCTCAGCAGCTTTGTCATCACATGGTCTTTTCAGGAAAGATTTTAACTACACTGAACTTTCTCCAGGAACACAGGCTGACATTATGTTGAAGTCAGGAAGCCATCCTTTTCTAGGAACATCCATTTAGCATTCATTGAGAGCATACAAATATTGAGAAGAAAAAAAAAAAAGAGCTCAGAAAAAGTAGGCCATTGCCTCACACTTAATACCAGGGACCCTGATACCCCAGTTAATTCCTGAAAACAGGGCTACTCCCTCCCTGACAGTATGAATAACCATTGACTCTGTCACCACCCACAACATTTTCTGGGTTTGGGATGTTATAGAGGCAATGTGTTCCTTGTTGACACATTTTACTTACTCCAGTTTACCTCTGATTTGCAAATTGACCACCCCTACCACAAGGGCTTCAGCCTGTTGGAACTGCCAAACAACAGGCACTCCTGTTAGTGCCTAAGAAACAGACCACGTGACTAACGAGGCTTCAGCAAACTCCATGCATTCCCTGTAGAATCTCTGGATCTCTCATCATGGCCATAAGTTGTCCGTTGTCTTTATTTATTCATTGGGCACTGGGAATTGAATCAGGGCTGCTTTACCATTGAGCTACACCCCTAACTTTTTAATTTTGAGATAGAGTCCTACTAAGTTGCTGAGGGTCTTGTTAAATTGCTGAAGCTAGCCTTGAACTTGAGATCCTCCTGATTCAGCTTCCTGAGTTACTGGGATCATAGGCAAGTGCCACTGTGCTAGCTGTCCATCGTTTTCTAATGCAAAAAAAGGCCCCTCATCCCTACACTGTAGACCATTAGAACTACAGTGTCTGGTCCTGAAAACAGAAGCTTTCCCAGGCTTTCAACAGGTGACACTACTCAGCTGCCTGTGATGTCTTGAGTCTTGAAAAAAGAAAAAATCCCATAAGTTCAGCACAGCTACCTACCTGTCCTTGCTATAAGGTGGAGCCAAACCTTTGCCATCCAGTGTTTCCTGCCTGTAGGAGGAGGTGACCTCATCCTTCCCCAGTCTCTTGCCAGATGTCATCAATGCTGAAGGAGGTTCACCCTATTCTCACATTTCTTGGTTCCCCAGGAGAGCTCCTTGGGATTAATTGAGTGGATACTGGTAGAGAGTTTGTAGGCTTTACAGATGACACTGCCAAATTCATATAGGATAGCTTCTCTCTCTCTCTCTCTCTCTCTCTCTTTCTTCGGACCCTTAAGATCAGGGGAGCCGTCACAGCACCTCCAAAGAAAAAAGGTATTTCTGTCTCTTGTGTAGTTATTTTGTGCAGCCCAGTTCCCCAGGAGTGACCCCTGAGTGTTTTAGACATGTGCAACCCGGCAGTTGGCATCCCTGGGTGGGCAAAAGGTCTGAGTGTTTAAGTCGCTGGGAAAGCAACAAGTGTGTGTTCATTAAAGGTAGAAAACCTCACCCTGGATGTGACTGGAGTGCTGGGCAGTATGGTAGGTAATAAGGAAGGAAGTAGAAAAATTTTTCTCATAAGGATTGATGGTCCTAAAATTTGTTTTTTTTTGTACAGCATCTCTCTTATTTCTCCAAGATTCTGGATTCTGCCATTAGAGAGCAATAAAACTCGTACTATGACCACAATTTAAACATAGAGATTGATTCCATGTGTTCTTGGTGCTAGGATTAGAATTCTGATCCCCACATTCACTTACCATAAATGTTTAGAAACCACAGAATTATATGTGAAATTCTTTTTTTCAAATATTTTTTAGTGTTGATGGACCTTTATTTTATTCATTTATTTATATTTGGTGCTGAGAATTGAACCCAGTGCCTCACACATGTGAGGCAAGCACTCTTCCACTTAGCCACAACACCAGCCCCAGTGAAATTTTTTTTTTTTTTTGTATTGAGTATTGAACCCCAAGGTGCTTAAACACTAGGCAGCATCCCCAGCCCCTTTTAGGTTTTTTTTTTTTTAATTTTTTTTTTAGCTGTAGATGTACACATGGTATCTTTGTTTATTAATTTATTTTTTATGTGGTGCTGAGGCTCGAACCCACTGCCTCACATGTGCGAGGCAAGCGTTCTACCACTGAGCTACAGCCCCAGCCCCCTTTTTATTTATTTATTTAATTTTTAAAATACCTTATTTTATTTATTTTTATATGGTGCTGAGGATCGAACTCAGGGCCTCATGCATCCATGTGAGCGTTCTACCGCTGAGCCACAACCTCTGCCCCCTTTTTAGTTTTTATTTGGAGACAGGGTCTTGCTAAGTTGCTGAGGCTGGCTTTGAATTTGCAATCCTCCTGCCTCAGCCTCCCAAGCTGCTGGGATTACAGGTGTGTACCACCATGCATGATTTATGAATTAAATGAATATGAATTAAATATGAATTAAATGCAGACCACCTTTACTATAGTTCACCTTTCCTCTGTAAACATGTCTGGGATGTTTCAGGACTCAGTGACCTTTGAGGATGTGGTCGTGAACTTCACTGTAGATGAATGGGCTATGTTGGATCATGCCCAGCGGGAACTCTACAGAGATGTTGTCGGGGAAATCTTTATGAGCTTGGCCTTTATAGGTAAGGAAGACAATTTTTCTTTACTTACTCAATTAAAGAGCAAGTGTTTCTTGCCCATCAGTGATGTTCATGATTTGAAACTTGGAAAGGAAATACTGTGGTAAATAAACTGGCAAGGTTGCAATTCATCAGAAACTTAGAGTCTAATATAATATGTTTCCTTTTAAGTTGTAATAATTAACGATTCTGACATTTTCTCTAAGTTATAATAAATCATAATGGTTTTTCTGGCTCTACTTTCTAGGGGAAAAATGGGACCAGAACATTGAAGATTGGTATAGAAATCAGGGGAGAAATTTAAGGTAATTTACAATGAAAGGAGAAAGCAGTCTTACCAAAGCATCTTAATATGGCCTAGAGGTTTTTTTTTTTGTTGTTGTTGTGGTTTGTTTTGTTTTGTTTTTGTTTTTTGGTCCCAGGGATTCAACTCAGGAGCACTCTACCTCTGAGCCACATCCCCAGACCTATTTTATATTTTATTTAGAGACAGGGTTTCACTGAGTTGCTTAGTACCTCGTCATTGCTGAGGCTGGTTTTGAACTTGTGATCCTCCTGTCTCAGCCTCCCAAGCCGCTGGGATTACAGACATGTAACACCGAGCCCAGCTGTCATAGAATTTTTTATGTAAGTAAATAAATAAGCCCCTCTCCAAATTTTATGTATTCAGAAAAATTTCACCTATATATGTATTCAAGTGTGATGTTCGATGTTTGAAACATAGGAACCATTTATTAGAGTCTGCAAATATCACTGAATATTGCTGTTTTATTTAATAGATGAGATTAACCCCTCTTGCAGACCATTCAATCTGTTCACTTTCAAATAATTTAGACAGGGCAGAAAACCCTCACTTTCTCTGATAACAATAAAAATGTCAGTTTACATAATCCCAGTGGCTCAGGGGGCTGAGGCAGGAGGATCACAGGTTCAAAGCCAGCCTCAGCAACCTAGAAAGGCCCTAAGAAACTTAGTGAGACCCTGTCTCATTATAAAAAAAAGGTCTGGGCATGGCGGCAGGAAAGATGATGGAAGAGATGGACATCATTACCCTAGGTATATGTATGACTGTGCGTATGCTGCAATGCTACATCATGTACAACCAGAGAAATGAAAAGTGCTGTAATTGTGTACAATGAATCAAAATGCATTTTGTTGTCACATACCTAATTAAAGTAAATAAATAATTAATAATTTTAAAAAAAGGTCTGGGGATGTGGCTCAGTGCTTAAGTGCCTCTGGGTTTAATTCCTGGACCAAAAAAAAG